GATTAAGTTCCTTACTTAGGGTGTATCTATTTTAGGGTCATTGTAGGGTTAATAGCACAGTTTATTTTCAAATCTTTAAACAAAGGTCAGAATTATCTGTACAATGTCCTTCTTGGAGACATTTGCATAATGTTAAGTTAGTAACACATAGTTACATAGTATTTGAGGTTGAATAAAGACATTAGTCCATCAAGTCCAACCTATTAGGGCTAGAATGGGCTAGTCATGTCTAAAGTTATTTTGAATGCAATTTTCAGTTTGGAATACTCACTTTTTGGCAGAAAGTAAGACTGGCATAAATAGTTTATCAGGATTTTAAAATGATTTTGAAATTTCAACAGAATTGTAAGGCAAATAGTCAAAAGTCAAATAGTTTGCGTGTATATTGCCAAAGTTTTATGCTACAGAAGTTTCTAAAGTAGAAACATTTAAACTGCTTGTGTAATAACTGATAAGATCAGTGAGGTGCCTGTACGCTTAGCAGATTTTGTTGGTTATTGTGAGTTTAAAGTAGTTTGAACATTGACAATTGATTGGTTGTTCTGTTTTAGTGACTATATCTACATCTCCTTGACGTAGCTTTTTTTTAACAAAAACAAACCCTGAACATTGCTGTGATGTATTTTGTTCTAAATGCATCAGCTGAACACATACAGTATGTACCCTGATGAAAAAAAATATTCTGTAAAGTTTTGTAATGAAAGTCTTTGTTAAATAACTTTGTAGCCATATGAGTGCATTTGCAACAGTACAGTTAAGTACTGTCCATACATTTTTTATTTGCACTAACCGTTAATTTTTCTGGAAAAGCTTTCAGGGTTCTGCACTTCTTGGACTTAGAAAAAGGAAACGGACCCCTCAAAGCTTGTCCCAAAAAATTACTTGTTAGTGTAGATAAAAAAACAATATCGTGGACAATACTCAATTGTGTTCTTAAGAAACTTGAAATAAATAGAACATCAACTTTACCTTGTGCTGCTCCATTAACAAAAAATAGTCATTTTACAAGCCATATGATATAACAAAACTGCCCACCTCTAATTTACAACTAAGAAATTGCAAATGTTCTACTATAGTAAATGCAATTAAAGTGACACTAAACTCGGGAGTTAAATCTTAAAAATACATTCAAGTACCATAACTAGTACCATAACTATTAAAGGAGAACTATGAGGTGAATGCTTTTCCCTCACCTCATAGTTCTAGTCGACCTGTGACAATGAGACTGTCACAGGTCGGCTCAGTAGATCGGGAGGTGAGCAAACACATGCCGGTGTTCGCTCACTTCTCGATCCTGTCACGGCTCTCTGCCGTGACAGGGGAGTGGATGGATTCCCCCCTCCCCGCTCCGATCCACCAGCGCTGACTGGCGGAACGGACGGGGGAGGGGGCAGGTACAGCTGGCTCTGCCTCTAGATAGGCAGAGCCAGCTGTCACTCACGCAGCTGGGCGGATCTCGACATCGATGTCGGGATCCGCTCTGGCTGCGGCGTCTCAGTATACCGCGAGCTATACTGAGCTTAGGGTGACGGGAGGACGCTAGTTTGTGTCCTCCCGTTACCCCAAGGAGAACTATGGGGAAAAGCCCTGACCCCATAGTTCTCCTTTAACAAAAATGTATTTTATTTGTGCATCACTAGGCTGTAGATCCTCAAATCATCTCTGAATTGGTGCTGACACTGTCCTTCCTTCTGGAGGGTGGCTACTTTTGTTCCCCATTGTCCCTGTCAGGGCCGGATTTCCCACAAGGCCACCGAGGCCCGGCCTCAGGGCAGCAGGGAGTAGAGGGGCAGCAGGGGTGTGGAATACCTATATCCCGATGCCTGGGATATGTTTTATTCTACATTTAGCCCTGCTTTGGGCAAGCAGGGCTAAATGTAGAGCGGGGAAGCCGCCGCTCATTTTCTACAAGTGATCTCGGCGCTGTCGCCAAGATCACTTGAATGCAGCCAGCAGGTCTGTCCCTCCCGCCACAGCCGGAAAGGCAGGGGAGGGAGGGTGCATTGAGGAACCTGGCCTTGGGGCAGCAGAGATGGTAAATCTGTCCCTGGTCCCTGTGTGTGTTGTGAAGTAGCCACCACTCCAAGCTCACTCCCGTGATAAGATTTTAACTTCAATACACATTAGCTAATTAAATGTGAGATTGTAGTCCATCACGGGCATGAGCTTGGAGGAGTGGCTACTTTACAACACACACAGAGAACATGGGGAACAAAAGTAGGCACTCTCCACAAGGAAGGACAGTGTCAGCACAAATTCAGAGATGATTTGAGGATCTGTCGTGGGACCAGGGGTGCCCTCTTAACTGGGGTCCGGCGGGTGTTAAGGAGATCGTATCTCCCTTCCTGGGGTGAATTGGTGCCCGGCGGCAGGCCTCAGATGTGCACATGAGTGCATGCATGACATGCGTGCATGACGTGCGCATGTGGCACTGCCGTGGCTACTTAGTCGCTTCGGGTGCTGGTCATTGCCGGGGAGGGCCTTGCGAGCACTTCTTCTCTCCCAGCCATCCCATTCGCAGGGACCTGTGGCTTCCTGGTTGCCCAGACAACGGGGGCAGCGTCGCTGGCCCCTGCTGGGCTTAAATCCCAGCCAGAGCCAAGACTTTTTGCTGAGTTATTCTGCCATTCCCAAACCAGCTACGACGCCTCATTTTCCTGTTTCCTGTCTCCCTTCCCTGCTATTTGGATCTCCTGGATATGGACTCTTGGCTTCCCTCACCGTTTATGACACTCGCTGCCTGCCTCGACCCGGACTGTATTCTGACAATGCATTTTGCATCATCCTATCTTGTACCTCAGCCTGGACTCTGCTTCTGGTTTTGTTCCCTGCTATTGGGGTCCAAACCAGCTAACAGGGGGACTTTGCTCCTTCCCTAACAGGATCTGAAGCTGAGTGATATACAAATAAGATACATTTTAGTTAATATTTAAGGTACTTGAATGCATTTTCAAGATTTAACTCCTGAGTTCAGTGTCATGTTAATTGCTTAGACTTAGGGGTAAGGCCCAAATGAGGCCTCATTTGGGTAAGGTCCAAATGAGGCCCAAACATCGCTCTGTGTACTGTGTGAATAAGGGAAACTCATTTAACAGTTTACATCATTATAGATAAGTTAAGAGAGTTTGCACAAAATTTGCATTGCATGGAAGAATATAAGGTTTAAATAAAGACCTACTTAATGTGCAAGTTGACCTGATGATAGATGCTAACAGTGCTCCAAGTTTTGCCTTTAATGAATACATCAAGATTTGCAACTTCTTTTTACATGACAATCATTTGGGTCACTAGTGATGGAAAGCACTTCTTGCAGAAATGTACTGTAATGTGTTACTCATAGACTGCCTTGGGCTACCACTTTGAAGTATTTCATATAATGAGACAGTAAACTTCAGATAGTTAAAACAGACTTTTTTTAGGGGAATTATAGTTTATTTAGTTGTTAGACACTGAGGCATAGAAACACACAGTCAAGACATGATTTGTTGAATCTTAAATTAATCTATGGTTCAAAACTAGGGCAGCACAGATACTTTTCGAGTACCAGTGCCGATACTTGGCATTTTCATGAGAACTACCAGGGTTGCAGCGGTTGCAGCTGGGACCTGGCTCTGGCGCTCCACCATTGTCCTGAAATCATTAGTCTGTATTGTTTTAGAAAAACTGTCACATGACTATAAACAAAAATGTGTCAGTACTCGTACTTGTAAGTACTCGGCAAGTACCAGTACTCGTATTCGCAAAACTGGTATCTGTGCATCCCTTTATTTATATTTATAAAAACTAAATTGTACATTAAAACAGAGATGTACAAATCCCGGGAGCTCCGTGTGCTCCTTACAAATGACAGCAGCCTCCTAATTTTTAAATTTTTCTCTAGTCTAGTCTTGGAGCTCAAAAGTATCGGTCCATGTACTCGTACCTGTACCGAGTACTGTACTTGGTATCTGTGCAACCCTATTCAAAACTCTATTATGAGCGCCTCTATCGATAAGGATACCAATTTGTTTTTTTCCACCTCATATATGTTGCTGTGGGACAGGTTCCTGTGGCATAGTTGTGGCTGAAAGTACAAGGATTAACTATAAAGCAAGCTCGACACGTTTCAAATGTCACCAAGTTTTTAAATGTGCTGAGTAGAGTACCTTCACTATGATGGCTCTAGCAGCCAGAGAGGCACGCAGACATGTATGAATAGTTGTACAATGTCTGTATTGCTAGCTCTTCCCTGAGCTCTAGGAGCGTAAAGCTGGCCATGCACTGTATTTTTTCGTTCAATCTGCGGGCTAAACGAAAAAAATATAGCAGATTCCTCCAACCGCGCTGAACAGCGTGGATGGATAAATCTTGCACTGGGCACACTGCCATTGTCAGAATACTCGAACCGTGACAGCACTGTTCACCTAAAAAATTTCTGACCGCTTCCTTACATTTTTTTATCAAATGTTGCCAGATGGAAGGGTGCTGTAAGGGCCATTCAATGAACGCATCTCTTAATGACAAATGATAAAATTCATGGCCAGTTTATACATGAAAATCAAAGAATGGCCTTTTTTTAAATCAAACTAT